ATGTATTTTTATTTAAGGTTTTAACAAAAAATGTTAAAACCTTAAAATAAGCCTAAATTTTAAAGATCATAGTTTGTAACTTAAATTTTAAAGATCATAGTTTGTAACCATGATATATAATGACAATGATACAAGTTTATTTTTAGAACAATATATGTATTCAATTTAAGAACAGACTGTTTAAAAAAACATACGATGGACACAGTGGTTTAAGATCTTAAGAAAAATGCATTGTTTTGTGTTTAAAAAAAGAAGGAGACCCTGTTTTACAAAAAAATTCATAAAAAAGATAATCTGCATACTTGCTGTCTTTAACATCCCTCCTCTATTTTTATACTTTAGGGTTATTCTCTTTTCCCCCATACCTGCATATGGACTGACTTAAAATATAAATTAAAACTAGAACATTATAAAAATAGTACTTACTTTCAGTACTTAAAGGAAACTGAGAAGACGCACTAATTGACTGTTTAGAAGTTCCGGCCAAAAAAGCTGGAGAAGATGAATTTGATGAATCCAATTTTTTTTGTGAACATAATTCAGAACTTTTAAAGTTTTTTATGTTTTTAGGATGAAGAGGTAATTTAGGTGATTTTGAATTATTAATTTCAAAGTTGACTATCTCTGACTGAACAATCGGGGAGCGTGAACGATCTCTTGTTGAATTTGTTACATCAGGATAAACTAGTGATCTTGAACGATTTTCATGAGTGTTTAATATACATGCTTTAAGATAAAACATGAATACATATTTATTTTTCGAAACACATACAGTTTCTTTTTTTATTTATTCTTTACCATTTATAAAACAAAAAAAGTCTAATCTGAAGAAAAACACAATTACTCCCAAACATAATTACTCACATTCTTCTTCAGAGTCTTCTGTAGTTGTGAAATTAAACCCTTCACATACTTCTTTATTTATTCGTAATTATTTAGTAAAACAAATATAAACAATAATGCAAAAACTAAAATCTAAAATAAGTGTAAAGAGATTATAATATATATCTAAGCAAAAATAATAAAAACAGATTCAAAATATTACTTATCCAAATATAGAAAGAGAACAGTTTATTTGATATTGTACTTCATATAAAACTATAATAGTATTTTTATTCATATAAAAAAATTAAAATAGCAATGACAGTAAAACTTAATGACCTCCAGTTACTTTAATTTTTTTAACTCTAAGCTTGTTCCAGGAGTCATCAATTGGAAACTTATTAGAGGCAGCTCTCATTGGGTGAACACCAGTTGGCCAAAATAACCAACCATCTTTTACCCAACAAGATGGAACAACTGCCTCTGCTTCAATCTCGTTTTCAAAATAAACAACTAAAACCCAAGATTGTAAAGCCATTAAAAAGATTACCTAAATAGACATTATTTGTTTTATTTACACATACACACACACACACACACACACACACACACAGACACACACACACACACACACAGACACACACACACACACACACACAGATATATATAAACACAGACAAATAAACACATAATATTTCTCTAAAAGTTACAGACTAAATTAAGTCTGACTTATTTTATTTTATTAGTTTTGATATTACTTTATACTTCTGAATATTATTAAAATAAAGTACTATTTCTAACTAAGAAACGTCATATTTAAAAAATCAAGTTTTTTAAATATGATTTTATTAAAATGGTCAAATTAAAATAAAACAAAAATATAGACAAAAATAACCTGAATAAATCGAATCTACCAAATTTATGTATATTATATACAATTTGTTATAAAATCTAAAAGTTTTAAACCAGTTGCAATAAAAATAGATTATAAAATACAACTTTATTAAAATATTTTTTATACCATTTGCATGCATTCTATTAAGTTTACCATGCCTTTCTATTATGGCAAATTATTTTTGTAATGGCTAGTTAATCAGACAATAATTGTCAATGTGCTACTTCCTCAAACAACGCTTTATTAACGTTGGCAAAGTAACACTTTTTCCACGTTTTTTTTTATTACCACGTTGGTATATGTAACATTGAATTAACGTTGTTTTATAATAGCTTAAAAAGCAACGTTGATAAACCTTAAACTATGCGACGTTTTTACAGTGATTATTTGCGTACTTTTATTCAACGTTGAATAAACGCGATTTTTTGAGAAGATAAGATACGTTTAAATTTATACGCTTATTCAACGTTGAAAATGTAACGTTTAAAAAGCGGGTTTTTTTTAACGTTTTTAAAGCATTAATTTTGAAACGTTGTTAAAGTAGCTTTTTGCGTAAGTTGAGTCGGCGTTGAATCAACGTTTTATTTAAAGAAGCTAAATTACGTTACATTTTTAACGCTTATTCAACGTTTCAATTTACCACGATTTAGTATACAAAAACAGACATTGATTCAACGTTGAAAGCACGTTGTTTTTGTGACTGTAACGCTTTTTCTACGCTGCGCCTGGTTTTAACGTTGATTCAACGCTGACATGTTTGCTGGGTAGCTCATTTGATCTATCATAAAGTCCAAATTAAGGGCGTTTTTAAAATAATTTGAAGCAAACCGACTGGGCAAAGCCCTAAAAGAGTTCAAAGAGAGACTTTATAAAAGTCTTAAATTCTGTACAAACAAAAAACAAATCTCTAAGAAATTCTTTTAAAATACAAGCAGAAGAGGTTGAATTAAATAAAAATTAATTTACATTTATTTTATTTCATTTATAATCTAAGTTATAGATTGAGATTTTTATAAAAAATATTGATTTAAGTTCTACTAATTTGCCTTAGCTACGTTCAGTAAAAACGTAGTTTAAAATCTTTAAACTTTAAAGACAGTTATTCAGAACATTTGAAATAATATTTCTACCATGACTACGATGACGCAACAACACCTTAATTTATAACATTGACAATGACGCTGTATTTGTATGCCATTATTTTCCATTACTTTATTAATATTTGAAAATGATTACTAAAAAATATCTACATAAGAATTTTAAAAATCTTTATAAGAAAAATAAGTTTGTCTTCTACAGAAACATTGTTAGAAATTGAAGAATTTAGTTGTGAAGTAGTTTTCATTTTCTGAACAAACGAGCTGCGAACTCTATTCAAAGATATTAATGATTTCGGAACTGTATGAAAACCGTATAGCAAGTGTTCTTTTAACTCTGCATCGCTTTTAAATGATAATGCATGCATTACCATTTTAAAAGCGATGTATAAAATAAAAAAACTTAAAAGAAATGACAAACAATTATGTACACAATTGTTTGTCACTTTTTTTCTGTTATTTTTTGACTTTTTTTGTTTAATTGAATTATTTGTTCAGCTATATGTCAAAAACAACTTAATTAAAGGCTGAATTTATATTAAGATTAATAATGGCAAAATAATGCCATATCCTCATATCTTTTGACAAAATTCAAATGAGTGATAGTTTCTAATGTTGATCATCTTCGGTCCCGTAACTACAGTTTTATCATTGCTAATTTGTGCAACTGCTGCTTTTGCATCTTAAGCGCAAAAAATATAATGCATAGCCTTGTGTATGTGTTCAGCAATCAAATGATGATCACCAAAATCAACGTAACTCCTTACGATTATCTTTGCAACTGTGCTATCCCTGTTATCTAATCTTTTCCACAACAAGCTTCATTATAATTATATCTCACCAACATTATATCACTCTCTCTTTTCATACATTATACGTTGTTTCAGCTGAAAGATTTTTCTAATAGGTGCCAGCATTGTCAGATTTAGCAAACATTTTTTTGATATGCGGTTGATCGATTCTTAATTGGTCTTGAACTACAGTGGTTAACGATATAACATCGACTTTTCCCTTATCACACCTATACATTGAAGTACAGTAAACACGCTTAAATAACTTTTCAGGCATTTTCATTAAGCATATATCTACATATAAACTCATTCCTTTCTTTTCAAAAATGCTCTTTTTAAGCCTCTCTGTATCAAACAGGAAGAATTTTTTGACAAAAATCTTCAACCCAGAAAACAGTTTAATTTTTGAATTACTTAAAAGCGTTGATCTTTACCTTTATCGGTTAAGAATCTCTCATCATATGTTTTATATAGTTGAATATATTATTTACAGCACTTTTCAAATCATTAAATGGAATCAGCATCTTCAGAATTTCGATTGGCTAATTCTTTATTACCTGCAGAATTGGCAGAGCACCGCGGAAGAGCACTTCGCTTGGAAATTCACATATCCTTCCTAATGATCGATTGAAACAGGAATTATTCCTAAGCCGAAATAAACCGAAATTTCGAGTATACTATTTTAGTACTGACATTTTAGCAAATATTTTACCGAAACTAAAACCGAAATTTCGACGAATCGAAATTAATATCATCAGAAAACGTTATCTAAAAAATGCAATTTTACATTTGTTGTTAAATTAGGTTTGTGAACGATAGGCTTAAAATTTCATTTAGAAATGGTAAAGTATTTTGTAGAAATTGTCAAAAATAACAAATCCAAACTATTACTAAATAGCAAGCCGGGTGTGTATAAGCTTACGTGTTCATATGGTGGCTTTTTTATATTGGAGAAACAAAAAAGAAAATTATACAAAGAAGTATTGAACATCAGGTAAACAGCATGAAAGGCAATCGGCATGCTTCCGGAGCCACAGAACACTGCAAGGACTGTCACGGTATATTTAATTGGATGCACCCAAAAACGACTGCACTTAATTCTAACTACCACGAAAAGAAAATAGGCGAGTCACTTGAGATTAATTATGCCCAAACAAATTACGAAATAAGACACTTCCTACCGCTTTTGAACAAAGACAACGGAGTTAAAATTGCGTCAAATAGCAGGCGACCTCTTTATAAAAAAATTATAGAAACTTCAAAATAGTTTTTCACGTTACGTCAGCTCATCTTTGCGATGTCTTCAAAATAGTTTTTTACATACGATTTTTGTGAGATTCTTATTGTATTTTATTTTACGTCTGATGACGGTCTGAGCTAATCAGACTGAAATATTACATAAATAAATTAAAGATTAGTACTTAAGTACTTTTATGCGTTATATATTAAATTAATAAATTATCAAGTACTACAAGAAATGTCATTGAAACAATTTATCAAAAATAACTATTTTTCTAAATTAAATAACAAAATAAAATCGGTTTTCGGTTTTCGATATGTTTTTCAACCGAAACGTTGCTTTTTACCGAATTTATAAAAAGTACCAAAACCGAAAGTTCGGTATCGATTAAAATTGAAATTTCGTTCAAAACCAATTCAGAATTTTGGTCGATAATTAATCTTTCTTTAATAATCTTGCTTATTGGGTTAGAGCTGGCGTCGAATCTCGGATTATTTAGTTCTGAACCAGTATTTTAATCAAAGCGCCAGGGCTGATCTTAATATCAGAATTTTACGTAGAATTTTTAGGAGTATTCCTTTTTATTGTACTTTAAACTATTTCACAAGAATTTTGACATTACAAGTATGAATCTAATGCCGGAGTAATCCAAACATAGTTGGAGTTGGTATGTCTCCCTACTCGTTTGCATTTTTTTATTAAGTTAAAAATAAATTTATAAATAATTAGTTTCATTAATTTATTTAATTTTCATTAATATACAACATTGTATTGTGGTTTTTGCTAAAATAAATTTTTGTATTCGTTTATTTTGGTAAAAAAGAAGACAAGTCAAGCAAAAAATTTACTTAAATAAAATTTACAGATAAACATTGCTTTACTTGGTTTCTTTAGTTTACTTTTTAACTTTTACTTTTATATTGCTATTGGTGGAGTTTGATTGTGTCTAACTAATTTCTTTAGTTTTTTAAATTTTTTATAGCTATAAGAAAAAAAAACCATTTGCCTCATATACTTCAAAAAACATTGAACAAGTCATAGCAAAAATTTAAGCAGATGCTTCAATGCGTGGAGTTGCATCAATGTATAAAATTATTTTCACTACCTTCTATGACCCAGTATCTAGGAAGTCAAAACTTAGTAAAGGGCATCAAGTAGCCTTATCTTTTAGTGAAAAAGAATAAATTGTATCCTCATTAGAACTTGCATCTGATTTTGGTTGACCACTAAACTGAAAAAGCATTCAAGCTATGGTTACGCAATTTTAGAACAGCTGAAAGTACTTCCCTGGGATAGTAATGGGCCAAATGAAAACATTTTGCTTGGCTTTGATAAAAGATGTGTTTTTTGAATATCTAAAAGAACTCCGAGTGTTTTAACTTAAGGGTTAAATCTTCTTCTGTGAAAAACAAAACAAATTATTTTAAAACCGTAAAATAATTTATGATAAACATGATTTACATAATAATCTTGACCAATTTTATAATCTAAGTGAGTCCGGATTTTCTACCAGTGAAGGTAATAGAAAACGTTTTTTAGACGCGGCATAGATTTTACTTGACTTAAATGCTTCGTATAGCAAAACTATGTTCTCAGTTTTATACGTGGAAACGCAACTGGTTTTTTATATGTCACCTTTTGTAATTTATAAAGGCAAAAATCTTCATAACACTTGATGTATAGGACCCTGATCTCCCCTGATCTGACGATGCGAATTCGCTGTATCTGAATCAGAGTAAATGGATAAAGCATATATCTTTGTGGACTACAGTGGACCGCTTTAAATACCTATGTAGGTCCACTGAAGTTCCACTAGAGAATGTTTGCTGGGGTAAGTTTTACTGTTTTATCCTTGCCATATTTTGTGGATAGGTTGAATGTTAGTTGTGTTTATTTTTTTTAATATTTAAGGTCCTTATTCTTTGCAAAATTAGTCAACATGAAAAAAAAAAATGTATATATAGCATTATTTATATATTCTTGCAAAGGAGGCGTTATCTAACAATCTAAGCACCTTTAATTTAAACAACCTATATTTTTCAATTTTAGTTTTATTTATGTTTATTGATAACTTTTTCTTGCCTTACTTTGGTCAACAATCCTATTTTTCCAACTTTATTAAGAACTAACTTGGCTGAAAGTGAACAGAAAAACT